TAGACACTCTCCAGTGTTAATTTAACACTGGAGATTCAGTTACTGTCACTCAGTTAACAATAATAAATCCACTTAAACTGTTTGATTTTATTAACTCAAATAATTCAAGGCAATCTGAGCTAACACGCCAGGTTTTACATTGCGGAATACTGAAAACTGTGAAGTATATCGTTAATGTTGGAACTGATAGCTTAATGCAGACCTTCCCAAAGTGTGGGGCCCGCCCCCAAAGGGGGGCGCAGAGCCATTGCAGGGGGGGCGCGGTATGAAAAGGGGGGGAAGAAAAAACAAAACGCTTGGACCCTGCTGGCACAGGCGCCCACAGACACGCAAAGCAGGAGATGAAGCGTCGCTGAATATGTTTCCAAACCAACTTCATTCTAAGCTAAAGACTAGAAAATATGGTGAAGCAAATCTTCCCTTTGGCTTCACCTGCACAGGAGCTGAGGTAGGTCTCCCTGCAGGATTGGTTTTCCCTGCATCGATAGCAGCGCTGGGCTGTTCAAACCACGCACAAACAGGATCCCACAGCTGGTTATGTTTTTGAACCCATTTTGCACAGAGAGGCATTTTTTGAAAAATGTATTGATAGCAATGTTGAATATTATTACACATGAAAAAACAAAACTAAAAAACTACATGTAAAATAACCACACCGTGATGCCTCTGCCTTTCTAAATAGAGGGACAGTAACTGTATGTAAAACCTGACGATAGTCAGATTAACAGTATTTTGTCTCTATCTGCTTTTCTGCAAATCATCTCATGTAAAAAAAAAAAATAACGTGCTCACAGCATGATGTGAAAAAGGCACATACCTTTTAACTTTGTGTGACCAACTCTATAAAATATAAAAATAAATGACTAAATAAAAACGCTCGAGTAAATCGATGAACTAATTGTTCAACTTCGAATTATTTCTCTTTTGGAAGTTTCATATTGTGCATAATGTAATACAAATATTTGAAAATATGGAAACAAAATAAAAACCCATGATAACGTGCGTATTTCTACACAACTAAAACCAAAACTTTACCTGTAGCCGTCAGAAAACTGCTGTCTTGATAGCAAAATGTTTTAGAAGAAATCATCTCTACAAATGATTTTATAATCTTCCTGACTGGATTTTATTTAGGATTAATTGGCATAAAAAAAATATGTGCTCGGTGTCCTCCCTGTCAGTTTGTCCATGTGTTCCTGTCTCGGGCTGTGGTCCGGGGAGCCTGACGCTGATTTTGGCAGAGCGCTCGTCTTACCGTGGGGGTGGCGAGGCTGGAGGTGTGGTAGGGCCTGCTCTGCTCCGCCACTAGCCTTGTAACGCGCTGTCACGCTCGTGCATGGCTCTGTCTGTACAGTTCAGCACGCATTCTCATTTTCTAATTTGCTTATTGTCTGTTTCTGACTGTAAGTGGCCTGAAGAGTAATTCTGTGCTACTTACACCGTGTACGCAAATGACGATGATATCGTGCTGATGAACACATTTGCTCGTTTGGTGACAAATGATGTCGTTTTACAGATAAAGTGTAAATAGAGCCTACTCTGATTTGTAATTGGACTGTTCTTCGCTGTTTGCTCTGTCTCAGAGCTCCCCACCCCCACCCCCCCAGCACGCGCGCTCACGCACGCAGAAAGAAAGAGAGATAAGGGGAGGGGTGAAGTGAGTAATTGATGGCCTTCCGCAATAACATGTTAGTTAGTCGGTCCAGCTCTTGGTGCATCGCTGTTCACCGAGTGAGTGCCAGTCTTATATATATTCATATTGTACGTCACTCCGAAAAAGTGCTTCAGAGAGACGGTGGGAGTCTGGGAGTCAGAAGTGTTTAGGCAGCGGGCGATATGAGGTTACACCTGTGATCCTTGCCGTGGCTCGTTTTCCTTCATTCTTGTCCAAACTTTGACATTTTCAGTCAGCTGCTGAGCCGTCATGACCTCTAAGGGAGACTCTAAACGTCCAGCTGTTCTTGAGGGCAGTAGTCGCAGTCCGCTGGATCAGCTTCAACCACCGGTCAACACCAACAAACCGCTGACGCCTTTCAGCATAGATGACATTCTCAACAAACCGTCTGTGAAAAGGAGCTACTTTCTCAGCGGAGAGAAGTTGCCTTCGGCTTGTCACGGCGTGTCCGGCCGGGTGCTGCTCAGTCAAACCTCCCCGCTCTGCGCGCTGGAGGAGCTGGCCAGCAAAACCTTTGAAGGCCTGGAGGTCAGCGTCCTGCAGGCTGCTGAAGGTAAAAGGCTGTTTTCTTCCTTTCTTATTGTAGGTAAGGAGAACATCCTCACTGTTACAACCGCAACAGCAGCAGCTTATTTTTCTGAAATATGAAAAATATCCGTAGATGTTTGGAGAAAAAGCTTTCAGCGTTATTTCTTGTACCTAATTGTAAGTACTACTGTTTTCTAAACAAAGAATGATCCTGTGCTAGTTTTTCCTATTCGAAAACCGCTGTATGTTTTTAAATGTGCTCATTGAAATTTGACAAAGCACGCTAACTAAATGAATGAATCTGAATGAATGAATTTCGGAATCATTTCAGTGATGTCGTACTGGAGTTTTTGGTGACTTATAATTAGTTTTTTTTTGTGTAACACTGTTTTTAGTGACTTGTAAACGTGTGTTTTATTCCAGTTTTACATTCTGTATGATCTTATTTCCACAGGCAGAGACGGGCTAACCCTATTCGGTCAGAGAAACACCCCTAAAAAACGGCGGAAATCCCGCACGGCCTTTACCAACCACCAAATATATGAGCTGGAGAAACGTTTTCTGTACCAGAAGTACTTGAGCCCAGCGGACCGGGACCAGATGGCTCAGCAGCTTGGTCTGACCAACGCACAGGTCATCACATGGTTCCAGAACCGCCGGGCTAAGCTTAAGCGGGACTTGGAGGAGATGAAAGCAGACGTGGAGTCCGCCAAGGCCGCCGGCGCTGTGGCCTTTGAAAAGCTCTCCAAGCTGGCTGAGCTGGAGAAGTCCGCGGCGGCGGCGGGAGGTATGGGTGAGGGGACGATTTCTGGGCCGGGCCAAACCGAGCAACACCAGATCTCTTCCAGATTCCACACCATCGACACCCTAGACCCGCTGCATTTATTACCTCCATCACCTGCATCGACTGACCACCAAGTGTTGCTTGGATGATGAAGATGAGATTGACGTTGGTGACTAAATAACACAGAGACAGTCGCGTGTTGCCCAATAACGCGATAGTAACAGACAGCCTTTAGAGGATTTACATAGCGGTGCGATTCAAAAATAGACGTCTCCGCTGTGATTTGCCAAAAGCCTTGCTGAACAGGCCCAGGCTCTGAAAACGCGTGGACTCTTCAGATTCAAACACTGATACTTAAATCTAACACTGCTGTCGATTGGCCGCTCTGGTTACAATCAGAAAGATTTCACTGCACATTTAATGCAGCCTACTTTGTGCTATAAAGCGGTTGAAATGCTTCTGTGAATCAGTTTGTAAGCTTGAGAAGACTGTTTTTAACCTTTTGATATATCAGCCCTCAAACGATAACTGCACAGAACAAGTGCGGTTGCTTGTATTAAACATGGCTTAAATAGGGTTTGATGTTTTGTAACACTTCACGTGCCTTTAGAAAAAACAAAGCAGTTTTCTGACGGCTACAAAAACGAACCATAATAGCAGACATCTGTACAAATTGTACAAATGTTAATAAAAATGCATTTTTTTAAATATGCAGATTATCTCGCGTTGCTCAACATGATTTCCGGGGTGAACCAAGCGTTATTGAAGTGTAACATTTCTGTTTAAACGAAGTTAGTCGAGATAAAGGCTTCTCGTTGAGGAGGACTGTGGGGGAGAAAATGCCAAACTCATCTAAACAGCAACTCACCTTCTGACCTGCTGTGCTTGAACATAATATGGGAAAAAGAACGCCTACCCGTAGTTTTCCCCGGGGGCGGCTCTACACCGTCGCGCGATATGGAGACAAGCGTGTCCGCCTGCCTCACCGTCCGGCGGCTCAGTGCGCACAAAGGGCAGTGTTGCAGAGGCCATATGGTTGGAGGGCTCTCCTCTCAATTACGAGTCGCTTTGATGGATTGACTTAACCCGTCTTTTCATCTGTTTATACCCCTTTTGTCACGCATAATTCAGACACTTTCGTTGGTTGCTGCTGTGTTGAAACACACTTCCATGAATGTGAATGAGGCATAGTGGGGCGGTCAGGGAGCAGTGAAATAATTGACTAGAGGGATTAGGCACCCCCCCCCCCCCTCCCCAATAATCAGACCCAACCAATATAACCCCCCCAAAAATTATGAATTATCTTGCATAAATAGGCTGTTGATTTTCTTTACTCATTTCAGGTATTACCAGCAAAATGATTGCATGTTTAATAATCCGGGAATTTACCCAGATTCATTTATTTATTTAGACAGAGAGCTTCGCCCCCCCAATGTTCAGCACAAGTTACGCTGATGAGCTCCTGGTTACACATTTCATCACCCGTATGCTGCATTTTTTTGCATTTGAATTTATGAAATTTATTATATTAAAAAAAAACCTCCCACGGTATTTTTCTTAAAAAAAAAACTATAAAAGCAACAACTTTGTAACAAAATGTCCAAAGTAGATATAAAATATGTAATATAAAAGATTGATTGTTTATTAAACAATTCTCAAAGGCGATTATTAAAATAGAAAATATGACCAATATTGCCATTTACAGCCAATGCTTGACAGTTTCTTATAGAAACAGCTAAACATGAAAAATATGTTTTCATATCAATATCCAGCTTGTCATTTCGAATATAGATTTGTGAGGATTTATAATTTGATTTGTCAATAAATATATTTGTTCAGTAGGAAAAAAAGAAATTATTATTTGTCACGAAGCGTCCGATTTTCTTTTTCTTTTCTTTCTGTTTAATGTTTTATTTAATTTGTGTGTATATCACAGCAGGTGTATGTAGATGCACAATATATAGAATGACTATGAGTCTATGTGATCTTAGTCAGTCCCCCCCCCCCCCCCCATGGGGGTTTGTGTGTTTGTGTGTGTGTGTGATAGAGAGAGAGGGAGATCATTTATTCAATTGTCCGTAAAATGGAAGTTTGATGCATGTGCTCGTGCCCCCTCCATTTTTTTCTGTGGGACCTCAACAAAAAAGGCTGTTATCAACCGGGATCCTCCAAAAACAACGATAAATTGATCGATCGATTAAAATGCGATGTATATCTTTGTTTCTCTTTAAACTGCCAACTCCTAGACATACTTCCACTTTTACTACTAATGTGCAAAAATCTCGAGCCACCCCTAATTTTGCTTGGAAAATAAGATGCATATCGTTAGCTTCATAGCATAAGTGCCTAAGTCATTTTTTGGTCAAATTGAGATTTTTGCCTAACTTTACTCCCCTACCACTGCTGCATCATCCTGTCCGTCTGAAACACAAAACACAAAAAAATGACTTAGGCACTTATGCTATGAAGCTAACGATATGCAGCCATTTATTGAAACATGTGCAACTATACATGGATATATAGTATACAAGACAAAAACAGTATGTACAATTCTAATGAGCTTGAAAGTCAGTTATTAGCATGAACAACTTTGTTTTTCAACAAAGCTTGAACTGTCTCGGTCAAGTCTTCTTGCTTTATGTTAGGAAGTCTTCAGGAATCATTTTTCATGCTTCTCGAAGGACAATCCAAAGCTCTCCTTTGGATGCTGGATGCTTTTTATTCCATTCTCTGTCAAGATGATCTCACACTGTTTCAACAGTGTTGATGATAGGCCAGCGAGAGGCAGATGCAGGATAGCTCGTCAGCCTGTCGAAAACATATAGATGTTAATAATCGCTGTATGTGTGATGTTCCTATAATAGTTTGTTCCTGTTAGCCCACCTGCTAAGGAGAAGATAGGGCACATACAGACACATGTTCAGACATACTCTACAATCATTGTAGCAAGATCAAAATGATGATGATTACGATTATTATGCTAAGACCAGTTCTGTCCAATCTATAAGCAATAGTCAGTGACATATTATCGATTATTTCCTAATTCAAAGCATTGCTCATCGAGCACAAATTCTTGTGTTTGTTGGTGAACTGTACTGTAGAGCTGGACTGTACTGCAATGTAAAGTTCTATGCTGTGAAAGCTGCCCTGCAAATGCCTGCGTGTGTTTTAAGAGCAGTTTGTGATGAGCTGGTGTCCATGCTTTGTGTTTGTGTGAGTCAGGATGGAGCTGAAGAAATGAACTGCCTCTGCTCCAGGGTACAACTTGATTGATCACTAAATAGGCCAAATTTGAAAGTTTTAGTGATAACGTTCCTGTAGAGCCCCTTAACACTTCAAACTTCAATTTTATGGTCTATTGAACGAAGTGTGTTCCTGACAGAATTGATATATGTAATAATTTACTTGAACCTGTAATTAATTACTATCCAAAAAGAAAACACCCCCCTCCTCCAACACGTGCCCATTTTGTTTTTAAATTTCCAAGCTTAGTTGATCATTCAGAAGCAGAAATGAATTTAGCAGTCCAAGAAGATACCTCTCTTTTTTTCACACATCGCCTTTCACCCCCCTCCTGGGGCTGAGTTTCCTGGTTGCTAAACTGCTCGTTGAGTGTATTAAAATCAGAGATGCAGAACAAGCTTGGCTGGCTATCTGGTGGAAAAAAGAAATTGCCTGTCCACTCTTGTGATGTGTTCATGCTGAGCAGGTTCTTCTTAATGTGGCTTGTCATTGCAACCTGGGATTTACAGCCGGCAGGTAGGGCGCACACTTTACGGTGTTAGCACACATATTTGTTTACAGTGTGTGAAAAGAAAAACAATGAAAGACTTTCAGAAAACCTGGAGAACTATTAAACTACAAGAGGGCTTCCTACCTTGACCATTTCAATTTCAGTAAGAAAAAAGGATGACACAAGCATAGAAACTGCCCACAAACTTCTGTAGATTTGTCAGATTATACAACCAGATCTTTTATTAAGTCTCTTATGTTTACACGTTCAAAAGTAAGTAAATAGATAATCGTTAAAGGAAACAATGGTGGAAAAAAGTTTTCTTTTAGTTGATAACTTACTGATGAAGCAGCACAGGGGTGTTGTGTGTGACTTCAAACATCCTGCTTACCTAAGGTGTAGAAATTCTATGAGGAGGAGGAGCCTTTTTCTGGGTATTCTAGCTTCCCACCAGGTTAACTGGTGATTCTAAAAAGGCTCAGGGAGGGGTGGCCATCTGCTGCCACTGGTTGAGGATGAATCCAGACTGGTTCTACAGAAGAGCGGTCCCAAAGCTGAAGGCTCTGCCTCCCTTTCTACTTTTAAATAGCCAATCTAAGAGGACGCACACTATTGGTGTAATATGGTACTATAAGGGCATTAAGATAAGATGGGGCCTAATTATTAAGACCTTGTGTGTGAGGAGCAGGATTTTAAAATTTATTCTGGATTTAACAGGGAACCAATGAAGAGGGGCCAGTATGGGAGAAATATGCTTTCTCTTTCTGCTTGACAGTACTTTGGATTAAGATGAAGTATTTAAAGATCACTGAATAAGATATATGAATGTGTAACGCTGCAGCCGTGGCTGGAGACCAAGTACAAGTAACAGTGTTAAAAGTAACGGCGTTACTTTTTTCAGTAACGAGTAATCTAACTAATTACTATTTCTATTGTTACAACGCCGTTACCGTTACTAACAAGAAAATGCGGTGGCGTTACTATTTTTCAACAGACGGCTGAAGCTGTGTTCAGCTTACCGCTTCTATCAGTTGCACGTAAGTAGCTGTAAGTAATCTGGGTGCTACAGCTTTAAGCAGCTGTGCGCGCTCCCGCGGGCTGCAATCACTTTCTTACAGACGATCAGCTTTTTGGCACAACACCTGGAGCTCAGGGGGCAAAACGATCGCATGAGTGCTGCTGTTTGACTGAAGAAGAATAAAGTAGTGGTGGTAAGCCAATCACATGACCTCTTAAAGACAAAGCAACAAGGTGATATATACCAGGTTTTAAATTGTGTTGATAGGCCTCGTAAAACCAGAGTCATGATAAACAAAATATACGAGTGTTTGTTCCTCAATAGTCACGTTTACTGTCTAAGGACAGCGCAGCGAGACCTCTCTGCTTATGAGCAAACAAAAAACAGCTCGTTCCTGT